AGGAAGTAACAAGCACAAGCATACGAAAAAGAACCTGTTTCCATTCACGCATGCTTCAGTTGAAACTTGCTATTCTTTTTAGCGAGTTAAAAGGTGAAAATTTTGGCAACGGCAAACGGCAAGAATAAAGTCTGGTTTAGTTCACTTTTCAATTAATCCATTCGTAAAAGATGTAGAAAAACTCAAAAGCAAAAACTAGATAAACAAAGCAAACAAACAAAAAAAACATACGAAAAAGAAATGACAAAATCAACAATTAACATGTTTATATTGTAAGGACAACAATTTTTAGATCTGTATGGTGTACTGACAAAGGGCTGGAAATAGATGGTAAGAATATCTATTTTTGTTTTCTACGGCCAGCTGTTTACGTGATGCTTATTTTTTTTTTAATTCTTTGACCTGGTATAAACGTAGATTCGCATGTGGTACTTACAGTCTTTCATTTTGTTACCGTCAATATAGTCAAACGAAAGGTTTTATTCCAGGGTTACACTTGATGCAGTGAAGGAAGGATAGAAAATCGTTCCTTTCCAGGTAGCAGAATTTCGGCATGCGACCGGTTTCGTATTCCAAATTTCTTAATTTTTAAAATTTGTTTTTCATCTTTTCATTTATTTATCATCTCGGCAATATATTATAACCATAGTTATTTGTTCACGCTTAAAACCTCAGACCGAAAACTTTAGTTACGTGCAAAATCCAGGCTACCTTGAAAACAAGAGCAAGGAGAAGAAAAAAAAAATATCACTGACAAATTTTTTTCTGTCTCAATATCTTACTGCTCGCATTATTTCCTTTCCTGAGATTATCATTAGCTTTATTCAATTTTTCTAATGTCTTGCCTTGGCAGTGGAAGGTGCAACCTTAACACCAGTGACATGTTTAGTGAAAAAATGTTTTGAGAGTAGTCTTGAAAATTTACGATAAAAAAGGGGTTATTTCTTACTTCATCTGAACATCAAGCGCTCAGGGTCACGGCGAAAGAGGAAATAGTAAGTTGAGTGGAAATAAAGAATTGAAAAGATATTGATCTTCACTCAAATAAACGCGTTTCTGATACGATTCTTTTAGGTTTTCTGCTCAAATTTCGTTGCTTATTTTACTTAATAATTTTTTTTTTAATTCTTCCCTTTCAACATATTTTTTTGTAAATGCATTATTCCTTTTCCGACAGAAACATCCAGGTAAAGAGGCGAACTTTCAGTTTAAAAGCTTTATCCTTAAAAACTAAAAGCAGCTCACATCTTCGCTAAGAGATGCATTAAGCACAAGAAAACTCTAATGGCAAAAGGAAGGGTACTAACTTGAAAATGTATTGTAAAAGCTTAAAAAGCGTATAATGTTAAATGGACATCACTCCATTGTTTACCAACTTGAAAGTGCTAAAAGCGTAAAGCACTACTCTTGTATACACAGGAATAAAAGGTCCATTTGATTTTCAAAAACACTCCATTAAAACACTCTCTCCTGTTAAGCTCTTTCACTCCAGCGCAATCCGTGCGGTCGAAAGGAAAGATTTTTAAGGACAAGCCTCTTTCGAACGCTCTTGATAGCACGGGAATCTTTTAAAACGGCGTGTTATTTAGGTGAACGCTTCAGTGCTCTCTTTCTGGATTCCTGATTAATTGTCGTTTAATTATCAAGGTTTAATCCATTGATATACAAGCCGACTAGAGTGAATGCAGCTTTAAGTATTTGAGTGGTGTTTACTTATTTTTAATTGGCCGTATTTCTTCGTTGAAAGCACAAAGCGAGTTCCGTAAATAGACTTACTCGCTGAACAACGAACAGACCAATTTCTAAGGTGTATGTGATGTTGAGGATCAGGACTAAGAATTGGTCTAGCTCACCTAGCAGCCAACTTAAAGGTTAGTATTTATCCAAGGTAACATGGGTGTTATTTCATACATGTTAAGGCACTTTTATCGCAAAAAAAAAATATTTTTCTTAGGGTTTTTTTTTCTGCGACGTTTCGTGGGGCGGTAACAACTGCCGATTCAATAAAAACTAAATATATTTAAGATGTTTTAATAGAATTTTTTTTTTCGCTAGAAAACGTTAAAAGGGAGCCTCTGAGATTCGCCACGTACAGAGGACCAGATACCACTGAACTAGCTTTAAAAAAGCTTACGCTATATGATGATGTTCCTTAAAAAAACGAAAAATGTTTCCTTTTTGAATTAAATGCAGGTGGCTTCTTTGATCCTCTCTTTGTGTATGGTTTTGAAAAAACCCGGCCATTTCAGTTTGGCATTTAATGGAATCATAGCCATAAAACATGATCAGTCTTTGAAAATATCGGCAAATTTCCATTTTAATTTTAAATAATAATTCAATAAGTGAACGTGTGTTTTATTCAACACATTTTAGCCAGTAATTTCAGTTTACATTTCGTTTTTCTTAGTTAAACAATATGATCCGTATTGACTTGAGTTCATCAGAGATATCTTGTGCGGCTTGAATTTTTTTTATATCAATATCAACATTTAAAACAGCACACGCCAAAAGACAAATGAAAAGATAAAAAAAAAAACAAAAAAAAACGAAAGTCCCCAAGGCCTGAAGACTTCAAAGTTTCAGTCAGAGTAGAGAGAACGTCACAATTTTCGTCAATTGACTTGGTCTTCAAATTACTTTAAATCTAAAAATTAAAAGATAAAATGCCCATGTCATGTTTTGGAAACTTAATACTTTGACTGTAGAGCATTGAATTAGATATTGACAATTCCCAACGAATAAATTTATTTCATGCCGCAGGCTAAACTTCTTACATTTCTTAACATTTATTTATGTCCCAAAAGGTCCATTATTTATCGCCTAAGACGGGAAAGATTTGGGGGGCGGGGAACAAATGGTTTTCGGGCGGGGAAGGGGGGGATCAGTCATCACTAACAGAATATAGAGGGGGGACTATAGGAAATTGACGGTCAGTGAGGGGATCATTAGAATATTTCAGCCCTTGAGGGGAGGGGGGGGAGGGACGAAAAGTTTTATTGTGATTCCATAACCGGTCTTAACCCAGAAAAAAAAAACATTTCCGCTTTTTGGTAAAGCACGAATACGCATGAAAGGCAAAATGAACATAACTAAAAACTGACCTAGAACAAGAGAGTGCTGACCTAAGAGCCTGCAAATAACCTTTATTCCAAATGTTATCCGTCTCGTGGTCTCAGTTCTGAGGTATATTTAGACTAAGGGTTCTGGCGGGAAATCACGTGGAAGAATGTCATATTTATCTCTGCTTGAACTTTGCGTTATCGAGGGAGAAGACAAATGTGAAAAGAACCAAAAAAAACAAAAACGGGATGAGTCAGCTATAGATCCTTAGAGAATTTTCAAAAGTGGCGGTGATTTAAAAATAACCTGCGAAGAGTTTCCTTAGCAACAACACCCATGTGGGGGTTTAAATCTCTTAGACTGATACTGTCTCTGGTGTTACTACTTTTTTTCAATTCTGTATACTAAATGTGCTCAAGTGCCGGCCGGCAAGTGTAATTTTGTCAAGGCTCGATTAAGCGTTTGGAACAACAAGTATTGATTCCTTGTTTAAAAATTATTGAGAAGACTTCTGGTATGTTTCGTTATTGCTCATGACTCCTGTTTGGAACAAGAACACCCAAAATAGCTGAATTTTAGTTTCCAGCTATGTTGAGTGTTCTCATTCCCAGCAGGGCCTTCTCTGCGACACGCACACGAACTGGAATATCATTTTGAATAAGTGGGACGAGGAAGATTTTTGGTTGAGGACGGGGGAAGGGAAAAACCCTCTCCACGTTAGGAGTACAGTAACCGCTGATTTATCTTAGATTTTGGTGGAGCTCGAAGTATGAAAAAGACTGAAACTCGTAACATAGTAACAATAATGCTTTTAAAGAGTAACGATTCATAATCTTTTGACAAATTTAGGCTTAAGTATGGGGACTTGCCTGACATTGAGTTACATTGGACCCCATTGTTGATATCTGAATTATGTTACTGATAAGGACAAAACCCGATGCAGTTCTTTCAAGTGTTTGTCCCTACCCAAGAAAGGAATGGGTAAAGATAGTTATTATTGATCAGGCTTACGGCCCCGTACGTGTTTTGAAACATTTGAAAAGATTCCCTTATAAGGGCCGTAGGCTGTGTCGCTGCGAGACCGGGAAGAACCCTACGGCTCGCGCACAGCCCGCGAGATGAGAGAAACAGCAGCGGTCTCATTATACGCAAAACGCTCATTGGTTGAGTGAGGGGGCCAGACAGAGCTGGCTGCACTCGGACTGTGCGTCCGATGATGACCGCGGGCGAAATCTTATCCTGAACCGC